TATGTAAAGTTCCCTGTTACTGCATCAATTCCCCCCTTTTCTATAAAATTTGCAAATTCTTTTGCAATTAGATTATTCCATTGCCTCCAAGAGACCGGGCGAAATATTTCCCGGTTTCTACTTGATGTTTAATTTTATTTCTCTTCCAATTCTCATAATTTTCTGCTGCATTGTGACTGCACCATAAGAAACACCGAAGCATAATACAAATCATTATCCCTAACAACAATAGGAGTAATATTCCAATAAATATCTGTTTTAGCCATCTAAAATTTGGTAACCATGAGGTTAATTTGTCCCAGAGCTCCTGGAATCCCCATGAAGTGTTGTCTTGCGTGACTAAGTGTAATACTTGGGTATGCTGCCAAATTTTTTGAAGGTCTGTCTCTACGCGTTGGTCTTGATTAATGTAAGTACAGCAGTGTTCATTAAGCGCTGTACACAAGCCTCCTTGGTGAGCGAAAAGCATGTCAAGGCCTAGACGGTTTTGAAGGGTAACTTTACTGAGGGAAGTAATTTCCTCCTGCAGGCCTTGAATTGCATCAATGGTGAAATTATTAATGATTTCTAAAGTAGCAGATATATTTACCAAAGCCTTTTCTAATTCGCTTACTCCAAGCCAAGGGAGAAACCATCTTACAAAGCTATGAAAAGCAGTAGGCCTCTGGATAAGGGGATTACTGCGTTTATGCATTGACCTCATGTATGTACGTAACAATGGAAGGGAATCTTGTTGGGTTAAATTTGTTAGGCTCTCCACTATAATGGCATTGGGCGCTAGTGTTCCTATGGCGCATTGGCCAACCCAACTTAAAGGTAGTACTTTATATCCTTTTAGCCCACATATCCAATACCACCCTGCTTGGAGGGGCCACCCCTTAGGCGCTGTACGATTTCTGCGTCGGGTCTGATTTGTGTTCCACAGATTGGCGCCTCCGTATCTAATGTATGTAGAGCAATTAGAGTAACTACCTACAAATATGGGATTTTTTCCGCACCGGGGGTCAGTACTATTTCCTCCAATATTTGTGGAAGTGTTGGAAAGATAACATCTTTGCACACATGGGACGTCTAAAGTACTATTCCATAATGCGGTAATCTCCGCATTCCACTGTAGGTTCGGAGGAGGGATTTCAGAATAACTTTTAATAGAGGAATTGCTGAGGCCTTGGATAATAGTGGAGGTATTTGGAAATATAATTGCTACTATAGGATACCCTTGGCTCTGGCTCTCAGGAAACCGTGAACACACCCAACAACGAGACTTGTTACTAATCTGTGCCATTTGTTCATGTACTTGGATAAAGGTATTAGCCTGCCATGCAAAGGCAACGGTCGGTAGGTATACCCAGGTTACCGTGAGAAGACCAAGTGTCCATCGGGTTTGGTAAAAACCTTCCATTGTCCTGGTGCCTTCTTAACCCTTGAATAGTGGATCCAAGCAGGTTGTTCCTTGACCTTGACGGCTGTGTGGGTCGTTAGTATCACCTGGTATGGTCCAATCCACTTCTCTTCCAATGGTTGACCTGAAAAATTCTTTACATAAACATAATCACCCGGTATAAAAAAATGAATTGGTTGATCTAATCCCCTAGCCCGAGTTCCCAAAACGTGTTTGTGGACAGTTTCTAATTGCTTTTGAAGAGACTTCATGTAGTCATGTAAATATCCTTCTCCTAACTGAGTCAAATCTTCTCCTGTAAATTGGGACTGATAGGGTCTACCATACAGTATTTCAAAAGGGCTGAGATTTTCTCTAGTTCTTGGTTTAACTCTTATCCTAAGTAATGCTAAAGGTAGTGATTGGGGCCAGGATAAATTGGCTTCTTGACCGATTTTCGCTATTTGTTGTTTAATTAGATGGTTCATCTTTTCAACCTGCCCACTTGCTTGTGGTCGGTATGGGGTATGTAACTGCCAATCTACCTTTAAAATTTTCCCTACTTGTTGTACGACCTTTGCACAAAAATGCGAACCTCGGTCAGAGGACATTGTTGCTGGAATTCCAAAACGAGGAATAATTTCGTTCAACAGTACCTTGGTTACTTCCTTTGCTTTGTTTGTTCGACAGGGATAAGCCTCTGGCCAACCTGAAAAAGTGTCTGTCATTACTAATAAATATCTATACCCCCCTTTTTTGGGGAGCTCAGAAAAATCAATTTGCCATTGCTGCCCCGGATAATTTCCTTTACCAATTACTCCTAATTTTATTTTGTGGGATGTATTAGGATTATTACGCTGACAAATCTCGCATTGTTGTGAAACCTGCTTTATAGTAGTATATAGGTTACGTCCTACTAATCTTTTATTTAATTCTTGATATAGAGCATCTGCTCCCCAGTGGGTTTTATTATGTTCTACCGTAACCAAAGTCCTTATTAGATTGGACGGTATGACTATTCGACTATCTTTTAGCTGGGCCCATTTTTCGGATTTAATTTCACCATTTAGATCTTCAATTAATTTTAAATCTTCCTTTGAATAATTGGGTGATTGGTTCATACTTACAGTCTGGAGTTTACCGTCTGGTATTAGTGAAAATTCATTAACTGTTGCCTCTTCTGCTACTCGCCTAGCCTCGCGATCGGCTAGCCGGTTTCCAATTTCTGGGTCTGTATTTCCTTTTTGGTGTCCTTTGCAATGCATTATAGCTATTTTCTCTGGTTGGTTCACAGCCTCCAGCAATTTTAAAATCTCCTCCGCGTGTTTTATTTGTTTGCCTTGTGCAGTCAAGAGTCCTCGCTCTTTCCAAATTGCACCATGGGCGTGGACCACTCCGAATGCATATTTTGAGTCCGTCCAAATATTTATTCTTTTTCCTTTCGCTAATTCCAGGGCTCTGGTGAGAGCGATTATCTCTGCCTTTTGGGCCGAGGTTCTTGAGGGTAAAGGCTTAGCTTCAATCACTCGCTGGGTGGTGGTGATTGCATAGCCTGCTTTTCGCTGACCTTGTTTCATGAAGCTGCTTCCATCGGTGTACCAGGATTCTTCAGCATCGTCCAGAGGTTCTTCTCGGAGATCGGATCGGCTGGAATATGTAGCTTCAATGGTTTCTATACAGTCATGTGATACTGGTTCGTCTTGGGCCTTACTAAGGAAAGAAGCTGGGTTGACAATGTTAGTGACTACTATTTCTACATCATCTTGCTCTACCAGCACGGCTTGGTATTTTAAAAATCTCTGGGGCGAGAGCCAGTGGCCTCCTTTTTGTTCCAAGACTGTTGAAACAGTATGGGAAACTAATACTGTCATTTTCTGTCCCAAGGTAAGCTTCCGGGCTTCCTGGATGTTAGTTACAACCGCAGCCACTGCGCGAAGGCATCCCGGCCATCCTTTACTGACTTCATCTAATTGTTTGGAGAAGTAGGCCACTGCTCGTTTATAAGGGCCAAGTTTCTGAGCTAATACGCCTAAGGCTATTCCTTGCCTCTCATGGGAGAATAGCCAGAATGGCTTTGAGACATCCGGTATTCCTAGGGCAGGGGCCCTCATCAATTCCTGTTTAAGCTGTTTGAAAGCAGCTCGTGCTTCATTAGTCCAATTTATCTTTGGTTGATTATCCTTTATTATTTCATATAAGGGTTTTACTAATAATCCATAATTATATATCCAAAGACGGCACCAACCTGTCATTCCCAGGAATGTCCGTAATTCTTTTGCTGTCTGGGGTTCCGGGGTGCGACAGATGGCCTCTTTTCTCGCAGTTCCGAGTTCCCGTTGCCCTCCCGAAATTTCCAATCCTAGATAGGTGACGCGTTGCTGGATCAGCTGGGCTTTCTGTTGAGAAACTCGGTATCCATTTAATCCCAAAAAGTTAAGGAGATTTATAGTCCATGTGGTACAATTTTCTTTAGTTTCAGTGGCAATTAAAAGATCGTCTACATACTGCAATAGGGTTCCCCTATTATCTGGGGGTGCCCAAGCCTCGAGTTCCTTAGCTAATTGATTTCCAAAAATGGTGGGACTGTTTTTAAAGCCTTGTGGTAAGACCGTCCAGGTTAGCTGAGTCTTTCTTCCCGACTCCGGATTTTCTCATTCAAAGGCAAATAATTTTTGACTTTCAACGGCTAGTGGTAGACAGAAGAAGGCATCTTTTAAATCCAGCACGGTAAACCAGAGCTGTGTGTCCTTTAGCTTTGTGAGCAGCGTATACGGATTAGCTACTACAGGATGTATATCCTCGGTTATTTTGTTTATTGCTCTTAAATCTTGGACTAGCCTATAGCTGCTTCCATCAGCCTTTTTAACCGGTAATATGGGAGTATTATATTCTGATTCACACTCAGTTAATAATCCATATCTCAAAAATCGATCAATTGTTTCTTTTATTCCTTTCCTATCCTCTAACCTTAAAGGATATTGTTTTATCTTTACCGGTGTAGATTCCGATTTTAATTTAATCACTATGGGAACAGCATTTTTGGCTCTCCCCGGGACATCGGTGGCCCATACTCCTGGATATACCTGGTCAATTATTTCTGAAGGTATCTCAAAATTGGGTGGTGTTTGCAATAGTGCTAAACTTAGAATTTCAATTAATTGTTTTTCTTTAATTTGGAATTTTATTTTCCCTTTTTCAAAAATGATGTTAGCTCCCAATTGCTCTAACAAATCTCGACCTAATAAGGGTTTAGGAGAATTTGGTAGATAGAGAAATCTATGTATCCCCACTTGTTTTCCTAATTTATAGGTGAGAGGTTTCAAAAAATGAGCTTTTTCAGGTTGACCAGTGGCTCCAATTACCGTGACAAACTCCTTATCTTCTGGTATTAGCTTTTGATTTAACACTGAATATGATGCCCCAGTATCTACAAGAAAATCTACTTCTTGCCCTTCCTTCCCTAGCTTAATTTTAACCAGTGGATCCGCTAGGGTGGATTCCCCCGGTTCCCTTCATTGATCCGAATCAATATGTGCTACAACGGAGGATTTGTCGACCAGCTTAGGGCATTGCCCTTTCCAATGTCCTATCTCTTTACAATAGGCACACTGATTTGGTCCTAACGGTCGACGTACTCCTCCCTTTTTACTCTGCTGCCCTTTCTCGAAAGGAGGGTTTCCTTGTTTCCCTAGAGCAGCTACAGTAGCTACTGCAATTGCTTTTCCCATTTTACGCACATTTTGTTCCTCTCGGTTTCGATATATTTTCCATGCTTCTTCTAACAGTTTCTCTAAATCTCTGATTTCGGGCTCCTTTAACTTTTGGAGTTTCCGTCTTATATCATCGGAGGATTGCCCTAAAAATAGGGAAAGCAATTGCTGTTTTCCTTCATCAGACAATGGATCTAAGGTGGTAAATTTTCTCATAGCAGTTCTCAATCTATCAAGGAATTCAGTAGGGGTTTCTGTTTGATTTTGTTTTATGGCATATAGGCTTGACCAGTTTACCGCTTTTGGCACTGCCGTTTCGATGTCGATTTTTATCCATTTTTGATACCTTTTTAACAATTGATATTCTTGATCATCGTTTGGATTCCAATTAGGATCATCCCTAGGTACATGGATATCCACTGTACCCGGCAAAGTCCCCGCAGTGATTTGAATTTGAACTTGGGTGCGGGCACTTTTGATTATTAATTGTTTCTCGGTTTCAGTTAATGCGTCTAACATTAAATCGATATCTTTCCAATCTGGGTCCTGGTTTTTAACAATTAACTCAAATCGTTTAGCGACCCCTTCGGGGTCATCCCGATACCCTTTTACAGTTTCTTTCCATGTGTCCAAATCGTTCATTGTGAAAGGTATCTTAATCCTTGTGGGTCCTGTGGTACCAACAGCTTGCCGTAAAGGCGCCTGTATCACAGGACCCGCCTTACTTCTGGTACGAGCCGTTATGGGAGTAAACCCTGCGGCGCCCGTACTTGCCTCTTCCTCCGGATCATTTGGCTCCTCAGCCGCGACCGAATTATCATCGGGGGGGGTTTGAGGCCTGGGCGGAGGAACGTAATCTTCCAATCTTTCCTCTGCCTCTTTTAATTTCGTACACCTTTGCCCTATGCTACAAGCTGAACAGCATCTTTTTAATTTTCCCCCATTCTTCTTCTGTTCCTTTTCTATAGCCAATACAAGAGGGTCTTGAGGAGCCAAGTTAATTCCACACTCTCTTTGCCACTCTGGGTGATTCCTTAGTGTGAAAAACATATCGGCATACATAACTTCATCCCATTTACCTTCCCGTCTTAAAAATAACATTAATTGCAATAGTGCGTTATAGTGTAAGGTCCCATTGAACGGCCATTTCTCACCATCTTCCAATTTATACAGTGGCCACCATTGATTACAATATTTTATTAAGGTTCTTTTATTTACACTACCTCCCGGGGGCCCCCCTATCTCTTTCCAATGTGCCAAAATGCAACCTAAAGGGCTCTTTTTTTGAATGCCACCACTCTGCCCCCCGCCCATTGTGCCTATTTATAAAATACACCAAACAGGACACTTCTTGCAATAACAACTACACAAGACTAGTATAATAATTAACACAACAATTACTGCTATAATGCCACACCAATAACTTTCCAAAATCATGAAACAATATTCACACAATTTCTCTCACACACGTTTTTTTCACTCACTCAGGAAGTCTTTCTAATTTCTCGTACTTGATGCAAATTTAAAATCAATTCCGGAATCCATTAGCTATGGTCGGTTTACCCAGAAGACAATACCGAAATTAAATGTCTGGATACTTGCACGAACACCAAACCAAAAGCACGAGGAGTGCTCAATAGCATACAATGTATGCTGTAACAAAAGGCGTCCTTACATGTACCAGACCAAAAGCAAACGTATGTTCAAAGTAATAATTTCAATTACCCGACATACGCCATCCCGCATAAGTAAACCTTATGTCTTACGGACAGCTTTCCAAATAACCGGTCCCAAAATAAATTTAAAGAGTACCTGTGCCGTTTTTGGGCAGATGGAGTCCTTGTCTGCTCCTGCAATGATCCGAGTGAGGCGAGGAGTCCCTCCGGGAAATCCCGGGGGTACCCAAGGGAGTCCTGTTCTCAGCGGGTCTTGCAGCCGAGCAGAGAGGGTCCCATCTGG